TCTTTGACATTTATGGCCGACAAACAGAACTTTTATAGCGCTGAAATTAGTGGCGAATTGTTGCTGTGTGGCAAGTTTGTCGGCCGACTACCGTCGTGCCCGAATATTGAGTCATAAAAACGAGGCTTGATTGGAAGGCGACGTGGGCGCAAAAGTTGCAAGGAGTTGGTGGGATAAGTGCAACTAATTTGAGATATAGTCGCAACTGTAGTTTATCTGCTGGCCTGTTTTAATGGCCAACTAATTGCATGCATCTGTGGGTGTGCCTGTGGATAAGGAGGGAGATGTGGTTCGGTTTGTAGATGGAAATGGAGTTGGGGTCACTGAGACTCCACTCGAACCTGTGGCCAATTTTCGCACTTAATTATGAGCAGACCTACGGCCAGGCGAAGCAAAGCAAACAAAAACAAACAATAACAAACCAGTGCAGAGAAACAAAAAAAATTGTATGATACTATTTATAATTATTTTAAAATATTCATAATTTCTAAAGCCCATAAAGTGATATTATATTTATTAAAAATCGTTTCTGGGTAAAAAGTTTATCTTAATAGCTTAAAAGGTATTGAAATTCGGTTTAATAAATTGAAATTTGATATTTACCAAACCAAACAATTATTTTTATAGAAGCCTAAGACTATTTTTTAAATGGAAAAGATAAGTTGATTCGATAACTGGACTTAGAACTGATTTGATTACAACAATGTTTTCTGTGTACTCGAATAAAAACCCCTGCCTGAAATGTCTGGCCAAACAATAAGCGTAAATAAACTTGGCATATATGAAATAATTTCTAGCCCGCGGCAACGACGGCGTCTGCTTTAAAATGCATTTTCAATTTGGTTCGAAAAGTGGCGGAGGACTGGGAAAAGTGGGTGGACAGCCTGGGTTTGTCGTCCTTTGTAAACTAATTTGCTTGGAAAATGGCAAACTCTCGCATATATATTGTGTAAAACCCATCTCATATTGGCGGAAAAATGGGGAAAAAAAGGGAGGCGCTTTGAGGCCTCTTTGCATAACAAATACACGGACACCAGCCCGAACACTGAGTGCAAAATGTATGCAAACAATGTGAAAATTTTCAAAAAACAAGTAAGGAAACGTGGGGAGGGAACAAATAAGAGGCGAAAAAAACAAAAAACTGGGAGCCGCAGCAATCAACAAGCAAACAACGAAAAAAACACTGAAAAATGGAAAATGAAAAACAATTGCTCATTGTCTGAGCAATTATACACGCATTGCTGCGCTGTAGCAGTGGCAGCGCCAAATAAAAGGGAATCCCAACCACCGGCAAAGGACTTGAAAAGGATATTGCACACAGACACCAAAGGACGAAAAGCGGGTAGCGGCTTCCTTCCTTCCTTTCTGGCACATATGCGCCAACTGAAAAGGATCTGACCAAACAAGTATTTTAATGAAAATGAACCAAATGGGTTGGGCCAAAGCAATACTTATGCGACCGTAAAGAAGTCCAACTCATGGGCCTCTTTAACACTACATTCAACTCTGAAGAATACCGCAAAACATTTCTTTAAAGAATTGAAAAAAGAAACGAAATAAAACGCTCAAATATTTATAAAACAAAGATATCAATTTTGAGCATATTAAAAACTTCTACTAAAACAATTATTATAGAAAAGTTATAACTTATCAGTTTTATTAGAGGTAACATTTTATATTGTTTCTGTTTTGTGAAAGGTGTTATCCTTCTTATTTGACCGCTGCCCGCATTTATATATGTTTTAATATCAATGTATCTTAAAAGCTTTCTGCAATCTAGCGCATAAATAGTACCCCAACCTCTTTCATATCTCTAATTGTCCCGTAAAAATTCCCATTCGGCTATCATTACCCCCTGTAACATTTGAAAAGACAAAGAACACCAAACGGAATCAAGTCAAAAGGGAAAAATAAATATTTACTAGAAAGCAACAAAAAATTAACATTTATTTGTCAATTTGGGGCCATTTCCCGTTTGGCAATATCTCCTGGCCTCCTTTCATAACTGGGCCAGCAATTTTTACTGACTCATTAAAATATGGCAGTCAATTTGACAAAAAGAACTCCGGGTAATAACAGCATCCCCATTGGGATGGGACCTGCAGGGAACACACAGAGATCCATTTGAAAAGAGAATAAAAAGTATTATGGGCGCTAAACTCATTTATAATTATAATGGACCTTTTACGAACGGTTTCTTTTGGCAACAGCTTTTTTTTTGCCACACAGAGCCAACATCATAAAAGACAAATGAGCCGCATCCAAAAAGCAGCCCCCAAAAAAAAAAAAAGGACAAAAGGCCATCATGGGGAGGAGCCACTGTCATTGTCTTGTGTGGTCAAAATCAGCTTGTATTGTATTCCCTTTCAAGTCATCTAATATTTTATGTATTTTCTGCACTGCAATGATAGGGCGAATCGGGGAACGTGTAGGGACGGAAGGCAAGGAAATGGCTACTTTTCTAAGCTTTTAATAATATCCTTTTTATGTCCACTAAATGAAGGATATAAAGTCAACACTTTGTACAATAAGGCGGCCGCCCAAGAGGGGAAACCAAAAGCTTTGCACATCTTCAACGCCTTTTCGTACACTGAAATACAAATAGTAATTTAGAAAAATAAAATACATGAAAAATGGCATTTCCCAATTTTAATAGAAGAAATGATTTACAAACATTGAAATCAAAGGCCTTTAACTTTGGTTTTAAAACATTAAAGGAATTAATTTATTTTAACTATTTCCATTTTACAATTTAAATAGTTACATTAATTGACACTTTTTTTCTCTGTGTAGCGCCTCCTTCTGACAGTTTTTTGTCCCAGCCGCCGGCATAAAAACTTCGGACATCGTCTGGGTCCAGCTTGGATTGCTTCTTAGTCGCCTTCTATTCTCTGGCCAAGTTTTGTTCGCTTAGTTTGCATAAGTTTGCCTGCCAGGCGCTTCCGGTTAATGTGGTCGAGAACAGCACAACCAACAGCAACATCAACATCCACAAGGACAACAACTACAACAAGGGCAACATCACCGCGACGAACAACAAATAAGGAAATGGATCTGGCCAAAGCCAAAGTAGACATTTATATGGGCAAATCTTTGTGTGATTTCCGCTTCATTGGCGAAAGCTTTCTGGCGCCAAAGGGCCGTGTCACCCTCCTCATCCATGCCTATATCCTTCCCCCCACTTAATGTGTCCATCAATCTTTCGGTTAGTCCAACTTTAACTTGTTATTTGGCTACTTTAAGTCGGGCCAAAGCCAAATAAAATCAATCAATTGAAAGTAACAACAGAAATGGATTCAATAAAGTGAAGAGGTTCCATTACCCTTATCCTTTTTTTTTGCGGGGGGCGTATAAGATCGATTTGGTCATGAGTCAGCAGTTTTGGAAATCGAAAGTTAAGTTAACGATAAGGCGGGAGTCCAAAAAATAGACTGAAATGCTGAAGATGAATAGGACAACCAACCAATACTATCAACAATTTTTGAATAAAATACTTTTAATCATTTTCGTGGACAAATAATAAGTTAAGTACTTTATTTTATCTATTGGGTTGGCAAGAAAGTCATGTCGTTTTTTTCAATATTTTCAAGGATGATTTATTTATATCAGGACTTATAAATAATCAATTATGTATTGGCCGTTTTGTTCGACCACTAATGACCATCTTTCGGGCAGCTGCATAATTCCGCGCTCGAAGAACTTTTGGTCTTTTCCAGCAAAGAATCGAGACAAATGGTTTTCGACAGCCCCATCTGAATCAAAGTTTTTACCATTCAAAGAGTTTTGAAGAGAGCGAAACAAATGGTAATCTGAAGGTGCTAAGTCCGGACTATAAGGTGGATGTGGTAGCACTTCCCAATTCAGCTCCGTTAATTTTTGCCGAGTGAACAAAGATGTGTGGGGCCTAGCGTTGTCATGGTGAAAGACTATACCCTTGCGATTAGCTAGTGCCGGCTCCTTTTCTTTAATTTTTTCCGCCAAATTGAATAGCTGGCGACAGTACACATCTGATTTGATGGTTTCAATCCGTCCCAGCAGCTCGAAGTGCACTACACCCTTCCAATTCCACCAAACAGACAGCATAACTTTCCTCTGATGGATATCGGCCTTTAATGTGGCTTGGGCTGGCTCATCTTTCTTGCTCCATGATCTTTTTCGTTGGACATTATTGTAAACAACCCTCTTTTCGTCGCCAGTAATGATCCGCTTCAAAAAAGGATCGCTTTTAATCCGTTGCAGCAGAGAATAGCAGATGTTGATACGCTTAGTTAGGTGAATTTCCTTTAAGTTATGCGGAACCCAAACATCGAGCTTGCTAACGTAGCCAAGTTTCTTCAAATGGTTTTCAACCGTTGTATGCGACACACTGAGCTTCTCTGACATCTCTCCTGTTGAATAACGCCGGTTTTCATCCAGCAAAGCCTGAATTTGTTCGTCAAAAACGGCCGATGGTCGACTAGAACGAGGGGCGTCTTTAACTCCAAAATCTCCAAGCCTGAATTTGGCAAACCAGGGCTGACATTGGCGATCATTCATGGCATCTTTACCATACACTTCGCACAATTTTTCGCGAGCTTCGACCGCTTTTTTTCCTTTTTGGAAGTAAAAAAGCAAAATATGCCGAAAATGCTCACTTTGGTCCTCCATGTTTAATTTGCTATAGCTTCCACAAATGTTATCGAATAATTACCAAATTTTCGTCGATAGTACCTAAGACAATAAGCTTTAAAACGATACTAAAAAGTGTGACTCTGGTGCTCGATTAGTCGTAAATAAATTAGATTAAAAACGATTACTAAAAAAACGACATTACTTTCTTGCCAACTCAATATTTAACAGATAAGCTTATGAAATTCTCTAATCATAGGAAATTAAATTTGATTAAAAAAAAAAACAATAAAAGATTTGACTGTCTGGGATCAGTTGACCCCTTATTTAAATTGTGCAATTTTTTTATGGTCTCGTTTATTTTCTATTTTTTATAATTATAATTTTATAATTCGAATTTCTTGGAAATTTTAAGAAAATAAAAGCCTGTTTTAGCGGAGTAACTCATACTCTATCCATTTCCCTTGGCTTTGAACATTTGTAATCAAATATATACCATTCTTAGCATGACTTAACATGCCAGCGAAAAGATATTTTTCGGAGCCTAAGATCGTTTGAAATGTACCTACAAAAGAGCCTGGTATATCAAAGGAAAAGCCCTTAGGTCTTTTCACACAAATCTGATTTGGTCCTATAGTCATTCCAGTCTTAATTGAGCATTGGTAATCTTCGACTTTCTCGAGGGATTCACTGTGAGCACCCAAAATAGAGTTCTGAAAGTACATGAAAGCATTAAAAATCGTTGGGAGACCAGTGTTTAACCGGAAGCAGATTGGTTTTAAGAGATCTGGAATGAAAAGATTCGGTTACCATGATGAAGTGATCACAGCTAGAATAAAGTTACCTGAGTTAGGGACTTCCTTAGATAGTTTTACCACAGCTATATTATTTTTCATGAATTGCGATGAAAGGGTATAGTTAGGGTGCCTGTGGACCCAATCTACATCGAAGCTGCCCAGATATTCGGTCTCAACAGTTCTGCATTTTAAATTAAAAATTAACATATTTATTAATATTTTTTGTTTCTTATTTACAGTAATACTTACATTTTAGAGATTTTTGGGGGAAAGGCACTTGCAACAGTCAAGACAAACCCTTGTAAATTTAGAGCAGAATTTCTTAGAGGATCACCTCTATTGCCGATAAAAAAACAATTAATCACTTACTGTTTGTGATTAGGCCGCCAGGGAAAGTGTGCTTTAAATGTGACATCTCCCAAAGGCGCAGGTAAACTCCACCACCCCAATCGCTCTTGCAGTTCTCAGTCAAAAGTCTTGGCTCGTTTTCCAACACGATAGAAGCTATGAAGTCTCTGTAGGCAAGTACATCCGTATAGACGCCATATCCATCGCAATACTCAGATCCAAAGCTGATTATCCCAAACTGCACAAATCTGTACTTTCCGTTGTAGTTATAAGGCGCAGCCAGTGGACCGCCAGAATCTCCATGACATGCGTCTGCTTTATCGGGACGGCCTGCACAGATCTTTTTCACACCATCAGATTCGCATTTAGTGTGGTCCATTTCATTATTTAGAGTGAGCCATTTTAGTTTATCGCTTATCAGGTCGGTTTCCGTCTTTCCCCATCCGAAAATCGAGAATTGGTCCACTGACTTGGATGAAACACCCTCGTCCAAGATTATACAAATTGGCTTTATGTATTCTGCGGAATGAAGTAGATTAGAGGTTCGCTTCAGCGGTATTTCCCTTTGTTTTCATTAACTTACTATTGAATATTACATCACGGTCCAGTCGCAATAACGCTATATCGTAGTGAAATGTTTGTTTGTTATAATTTGGATGATAAAAGACCTCGGCCACATTACGACGCTCCACGTGGGTGCAATCTTTTGACGAGCACATTAGGTCGTATTCTCCTACATGCACGGTTCTAAAATAGTTTAAATAAGAGTCTCGAATGTCCAACATCGGTGTGGTACTTACCTAACGTCTCCAAGTTTTGGACAGTGTGCTGCTGTTAGAACAAAGCCTAAATATGTAAAGTTTATTAACTAATTCTTGCATATAGGTAATTTCCGATCTCACTTTTGTGAATAAGCGTTGCGCCGCATACGAAGTGGGTAAGATTGTGCAGGCTAGCCATCCATGTAGTGGTGTTCGGGTTAGCTAACTGTGCACCGACCATTCTTAACTGTACTGGCGCTTTACCGGAACAATTTTCATCCAATAGCCGAGAGTTTGCAAATTGACTGAGCGCCAACGCGATAAGAACTAATGCGACAAGTTCGCGCATCTTTTCGATTAGGTAGTCAGCGATCGACTAAATAGCACTAAGAAAACAGCCAGCGAAGTCGAATTTACCAGGAATCGCTGTGGCTTCTGCCCTCCGCAGAGATGAAAATAGTACATTATATACTCTCGATCAGCTTAAGCAAGAGAGGCTGTTATCGACCTGTGAGTGGCAAATGTTTTCAAGTCTTGTTGTTTTTTTTTTTTTTTGTTAAGCTTGATCACTTGTCTGAAGCAGATTATTCATACTATAGTATACTCTATTATTTGTGATCTCCCTGGGAAAACACTTTTTCCAAACGTCAAACCGAATTTATTTTTGCGTGTATTCAGCTGCACAAGCAAGGAGCAGACAAATCATTATTGCTCAATGCAATCAATCATGCCTATTGATGACGATTGGTTATCCCCAACGCCTTCAATTACTTCCGTATGGTCCGAAAACGTGGGTTTGAGATAAACGCGTTTAAAGTTTTGGCTTCCAATGGCCGGTGCTCGGCATGTGCTCCATGTAAGGGCCTGTCCCTTTTGTAATATTTCAAATTTGGATCTGAAATTTTTTGAGAATATTTTCGGAACATATATCTATACGATAAGCCAAGAAAAAAAATCCATTTTTTTTGCCACAAGGTGAGAACCTGCCTTAATAACCTTAATCTAAAATGATGTCCGAATGGTAAACACCGAAGTATTTACTTTCACCTATAGTCTAAAGCTACATATAAATATTGGGTTGGCAATAAAGTCATGTCGTTTTTTTTCAATAGTTTCAAAGATGATTTATTTATATCAGGACTTATAATTAATCAATTATGTATTGGCCGTTTTGTTCGACCACTAATGTCTATCTCTCGGGCAGCTGCATAATTCCGCGCTCGAAGAACTTTTGGTCTTTTCCAGCAAAGAATCGAGACAAATGGTTTTCGACAGCCTCATCTGAATCAAAGTTTTTACAATTCAAAGAGTTTTGAAGAGAGCGAAACAAATGGTAATCTGAAGGTGCTAAGTCCGGACTATAAGGTGGATGTGGTAGCACTTCCCAATTCAGCTCCGTTAATTTTTGCCGAGTGAACAAAGATGTGTGGGGCCTAGCGTTGTCATGGTGAAAGACTATACCCTTGCGATTAGCTAGTGCCGGCTCCTTTTCTTTAATTTTTTCCGCCAAATTGAATAGCTGGCGACAGTACACATCTGATTTGATGGTTTCAATCCGTCCCAGCAGCTCGAAGTGCACTACACCCTTCCAATTCCACCAAACAGACAGCATAACTTTCCTCTGATGGATATCGGCCTTTGATGTGGCTTGGGCTGGCTCATCTTTCTTGCTCCATGATCTTTTTCGTTGGACATTATTGTAAACAACCCACTTTTCGCGAGCTTCGACCGCTTTTTTTCCTTTTTGGAAGTAAAAAAGCAATATATGCCGAAAATGCTCACTTTGGTCCTCCATGTTTAATTTGCTATAGCTTCCACAAATGTTATCGAATAATAACCAAATTTTCGTCGATAGTACCTAAGACAATGGGCTTTAAAATGATACTAAAAAGTGTGACTCTGGTGCTCGATTAGTCGTAAATAAATTAGATTAAAAACGATTACTAAAAAAACGACATTACTTTCTTGCCAACCCGATATATATATAATTAAAAGTTAACGGTCATGAATAAATAAATATGTCAAATTATAGTTTTAAGTAAAAATTCAATTATTTTTTGTGTTTAGTGATAGTGAAGGGCTTTAAACTTAAAGTCAGTTCATTAAGTAAGAAAAAAAATATTATAAAACAAAAACGGCAAACATCATAAATTGATAGTAATTTCTTAAACTGAATATCTTATCATCTCCTTTAATACTTCAATTTCCTCCTGAATCATGTCCAATCACTTTCAATTTATTCTGAAATCTGCTGATGGTCTTTCTGTCCCCATCTTGGTAAACATCCAGCAACCACGTCCACTAGAGGGAAAAAATTTCAATAAGCAATTAGATGGCAATTACTTGCAACAACTTTGGCTTGACTTTTGTTGAAGGGCGAAAGCAATTACTTGAAATTTATATGTGACTGTGGTGGCGGTTCCTGAAGAGAACTCGAACTCCCTCAGCTAAAAGAACTCGAGTAACATAATTGAAACGCTCAAGAGAACCCAGCGATTGGCATCAAGTGGGGGTTTGGATAAACCTCCAACTTCAGGATGGATGGACAACTTGGTTGCCGGTCTAGCTGGCCACAAGAACCGCAGGAACAACAACAATGTATTACACATAAAGTTTTTGCCAGAGCATTGAATGGTGCACATAAAGAAATTATGAAAAATTTGCAATTCAAGAGATGCCAATCAAAATCAATCCTCTTTGTTTTAGAGAAGTAAGTTATTGCAAAAGATTCAACACTCAATTAAAACGAGATAATTTTTAAAATATTAAGGTTGTACACAAATTTTAAATGTTTTCGTTATTGGTCTTCCCAAAAAGAATAAAACGATTTTTCTCAGTGCACTATGAAAGAGTTGGATAAGGGGCGGAAAAACTAATTGAGTTACATATTTGGTGCTGACATGCGGAGCAAAGTTTTCTTTCTGTTCGGCTTGGTGGCACAACCAAAACTTTACATTGTTTAATTTCGGAAAATGTAGGAACACTCAATTGCGATTGCAACCCCAGACACTAATCTTTTGTTTGTCGCCCCCTTAGTTTCCTTTTCTTTTGTCGCAATACCGATCCCAAGTAGTTTGCCTGTGTCTTAACATGGCATAATCTCTGCTGCTTGTTTCAGAAAAACTTTCATTTGCACTACATACTTATGGCCATATCCCATAACTAAGAGTTTGGGGGGAAATGGAACGAGGAACGAGGAAAGTTCTGCTCTTTTCTCGTTTTCCTTCCGGCGGCGCCATCTTTAACTTTCATTAGTAACGAGTATGTGTAAATCTGTTTTTCGAGTCTTGGCTCTCGGTTGCTTTATTTCTTTCAGCCAGCTCCAAGTTATAAGTTTTTGTAATTGAGCTGCGAGCTTAAGAAGAACGGAGCGCATTCGTAATATATGATGACATTACATTATCATTTGTCAGCTGAGAAAAACTTACGAACCAGCTAGAGATGGATAGTCAGACGAGTGTCTGCAAGTTAATGTCCTTTAAATGGCTCAACTTTAATTATAACTACCAGTCTAATTGGGTAGTACATGAACAAAGTTGTGGATAATTTCTGCTAGCAATTAAATAAGAGTACATTTATATTGTTAGACACAATGAAACAAGGAGAAAGACTTATGTATGTCATTTCGTATACATTGTTATCAGTCTTTTGGTATTTTATAAAATATTGTTGTAATTTTAATCATCTTTTAATCAAAAGAATAAAGTGCTTAGCGATTTTGCCATAAACACTTCAAAAATAAATAACCAAACAACTTCCCCTTCTATTTTAAAATTTCTAATTAAATACTAAAGTTCCAAATTCAAAAGTCTGACCACTAAATTAGTGCCTTACCATAGTGTAACAGACATCGCTTTGCACATCTTTATTCCCATTTTGGTTCAGAATCTCCATCGTCGGGAAACTCATTAGTATGCAACAATGTGTTCGCTTACATTAATTGGGCGTTGCAGCTGATTTGAATACGGGTAATCCAGGCAATAAGATTGAAAAAAAAAACGAAAACCTCAAGAGGCGGGTCGGAAAAGGAGTGGAAAATATTTAGCCAGGCTAACCCAACTAACCGCAAGCAGCTGTCCGCCTGATGAACAGCGCTTTTAATTGCTGACTTCGTTTTATTTTCCCCCTGTTGACTTATGGAAATTGGCAGAGCCGACTACTTATATTGGTTAATGCCAAACACGCTTGCTGCATAATAACGAGCGGCTCATCAAGGATGCGGGATGAGAAGTGGGGAAATAGGGGAAAGAGGGGAAAGGGGGGAGTGGTAGAAGCATGTGTCTATTTATTTTAATTAAGCACAGGTAAACCGTGCTCAACGTGGCCTCTCAGCCGTGTGAGTTCTGTTTTGCTTCTGCGACACATTGTTGCCATTTTTTTGGAATATTTTTCCTTGTTACTGAACTTGCGAGTTGGTTTGTGTGTGTAGGAAAAACACGAAAGTGCGTTACAATAACGAATCACTAATTAATAAATTAGGAATGCGACTTAGGAATTTTGCCGTTGCCAGCACAATTATGCTGATTAATTTACTAAGTGGTTGGGGTTCCTAGGAAATTATAGTCTGGATAAAAATATCTTTGTGTTCTATTTTTTGGATAATAAACTCTTAAAGTTATTTTGTGTAATAAAATATGGAAAAGATATCGGGCTCAAAGTATACTTCTATAAGAAAAGGCAAATTAAATTAACTTTTTGCGCCGGCAAGTGAGTTTTTCAAACCATGCCGAAATTTAAATAATATTTCTCCTGCTCGCCATTTGAATTTGCATTTTCATCTTTTTAAATGCAATAATATAGCAATAAAACCATCAACTCTTGACACTTGGCAGCCATTTTCATTTCTGCAGGCAAATGATGTCATTAAAGGCACATGCTTATGGCATTTTGAAAGGCATTACGCATACGCCATGTAGAACGCAACAGCTGCGTTATGACAACGCAAATGCGTGTCTCCATCTCTGTTTCTGTCTCTGTCTCAGTAAATGTGTATTTGAGTGTGTGCGTATCCGTTGAGATTTTCCGCCAAACATTTTACGTGCAAATATTTTAAGCCTTTGCTGGCAACATGAGAAAAACAGGGCGGGAAACAGACAAATCTCCACCCTCTGGCATTATTAGGCGCATATTTGTTGAGCAAGTGTAAGCACACCATATAAACATACATCTCAGCCTCACTCGTATAGATATATATATTTATATATGTTTCCACATATGCGAGCCGTCAGCTGGGGCAGCAACATCCTTATGCCCAAAAAACTCATCCCCATTTCGGCTTTTCCCTGCTGAACCAAAAAAAAACGTGACTGCGTCATCTTCGGTGACTTATTAAATATTTTCCTTTGCCTTTCGTCCTGCA